CAAAGGGTAAAGAGAATCCTTGCTTGCAAGAGCTGTGGTGAAAGATACATAATATTCACTAAAAAAGTGACATTATTTGGAAARTTTCCATTGGTTACATAACATACAGACACTGGATTTTGATCTGCCATGCAAAATTATTTTATTCTATGAGATAGAAAGCAACTAGTCAAAACTATGTGATAGTATGCTATAAGAGATTTACAGAGTATATATTTTACAAAAAAAGAATAGGTTATGTTGTTATTGAGATTGTAGAGCATATTCACACTTGGTTCCTGAGCATGGGAAAAGAGTACAATTCTTTCTGGGCACTAAATGTACACACAGCTAATTTTAAAGTATGGCCCATGCTGAAATTCATTGACAACTAATTTGCCTAGGACCAAGCGCTATTAGTGTAAACATGTTTACACTATTACTATTGTTCATTATATATGTTCTAACAATAAATTCAAAGTATAAAAAGAAAATGTAATGGTTCTATCATAAATTAAAATTCTAAAGAAGAGCATGCCTTTTAGAACCTACAAACTCTAGCCTTCTCAGCAGATGTCTTTCATATTGGTATGCAAGCTTCCCTCCCTACAAACTTTGTTGTTCATTTAATGAACTTTCTGGGAAGGGAAGCTGGGATACTGATATGAAATACTGCTCTTAGATACTATATGAAATTTATTTTTGAAATTTAATTAAGGAATATTTTACTGATACTGCTGTACTAGACAATGTTTCTGTATATCCTGTAGATACAGTGTTCTTAGATACACACTCTACATGCACTTCCCTGGTTTGTTTCATATAAGTTGCATTATGTGCTCTAAATGCTCTAAATGGTGGTCAAGAATAATCCACCATGTGCTGTCAGCCAGAAAGAATGCTTTTGAAAACTTTCACAAGATAGGAAATACTGCAARTGAAACCCAGCAATATTACAAGAGAACGACCAACAGGATGATGGTAGTTAAAATAATAATAAATGGAAGCCAAGTCTTGAGAGCTCCACCAAAACTGAAACAAAAAAAAAAAACATTTTGAAGCTCATAAATACAACAAAAAAAAAAAAAACATTTTGAAGCTCATAAATACAACATATACAAGTTGTATAACATACACAGCCAAGTTTTACCTGACAAATTTTCCAAAAATGAGCATGTACAAAGCCAGTTTGAACATATTCCACGATGAGGATCCATCATATCCCATTGTATTCAGCGCCATGGCAACATGTGAGTGACAGTTGTCACAGCACAAATTATGCTGAAATAATCCAGGGAAAAAATCATTTATAACCAACAAACTGCAAACTATCAGGGCAGGTGCTTTAGCTCCAGTCATTTTACCCATACATCRAACTAGTGTGTTTGAAGATAAAATATAATGTTCATTGCTATTTTTTGGTATCAATCAGCTGATGAGACCAGAATTAGAGTGAGTCCATTYGTAGTGTCTGTCATGTGTACATCAACTGWCTCACCCACCACTTCTAATATTAAGAAATGTGTTGTTGCACCCWCTCTCTAWAGTCAAAAGAATCAGTTACAGTTTRAAACTGTYATAAGTWWATACCATTCTGTGTTTATATTCATCAGAMGCAGTGGAAACWGAGGTATCCCAGCTGTTAGTAGCACTTGTGACCTTGGAGGGATTTAGTCTCCAATACCTAAAATAAAAAATTAAAATGCATTGTATTACTTTGGAATCAACCATCATCACCACCATCTTCCTCCTCATCACCATCATCATCACCACCACCACCATCGTTATAATTATAACCATCATCATCACAACCATCATTGTCATCATCACCATCATCATCACCATCATCACCATCCCCCGTGATCAACATCATCATCATGGTACTTTCATCAATGATACTATCATTAATAATAGTTAGTAATATGCATTACCTTGTTGGTCTGCCGAAAGCCATACAGTCTTCCTGCAAGACAACAATATAGTAATTCAAATCATTTAATACTATTATTTGAGAATAATCAAGAGCTTTGTCAACTGTTTCGTTCTCGTTTCAACTTTGAAAATACTGACATTTGCACCTGTTTCTTTRAATAAGCTTGAGCTTATTTATTTAGATATTGACAAAACTCCTTATACTTACAGACACGTAATATGGTCCGGCAAAATCTCTTATTACACCAGATGACATGCAAATTCCCATATGACCAATAAAAGGAAACATCCATCTGTGGAAAGACAAGAAAGATGGAATGAATTTGACAAAACTCGAACATAGTGAGAGGACGGAAGTTTCTCAAGTAATATCATTGATCTACTTACGTTAGCAGAGGAATTGGCGTCCAAACAACACAGAACGGATATCTACTTCTTGCTCTATCAATTCTCGGTAAGCCATTTTCGTTATCCATTATATTTGCTTCAAGATTGTCGGCCATTCCTTCTTTATCGCTGACTCTCACTGGTGATCATCCGCCATCTTGATTAGGAAGGATTATTYCTTGGGCTACCTGTGGCATAATTAGCAAATAAAACATAAACAAACCAGCCGATCTGCCTTTAAAAATAACTTTAACTTTTTATGCAGCGTATTATTTAGGTATTATTTCAGTGCATTATTAATCATGGTGTTTAAGACCTCTTTCATCTTAAAATAGGCATAAAAAATAGAACGTTGAAGGAGAATTCTTTTTCACTAATTGGGTTGCCTGTGGTACAGGTGCTGACCAACAAGTATTGCAGTTTTTCACTCTCCAGTTACGTTTGGTCATAAAAACCAGCTGAATTTTGCTATTTTTTACGTTCATTGAGGTATACTTATACTTCATTTATAGAGCATATGTTACCTGAAACACCTCATCAGCCTAGAAATTCATTCCAAGTTAAAGAAATGGGACTGTAGTGAATAATAAAGTGTGGTTTGTAACGGCGACCCTGGAACCATGGAAACAACGCCATAAAATACCCAGGAGRAAACAGGGATTATTTCATATTTTACGTGATTATATTGAAGGTTATCAACTATTATCTACCAAGTTTTGAATTATCTACTGTGCATTTGATGGATATTGCWTAAAGATATGTCCATTTTGCTCATTTGTTGAACTGTGTTAAAGTGAACAAAGTCAATAATGGAAGAAGAAAACTTAAATAGATACATACCAGAACACCCTTTACCAAAAGAGATCCAAGAAATGCAGAAAGATGACACCGTTTGTCAGTTCTGTGGAGTTAGTTATCTCATCCATAATGAAATGAAGGCTTTAGAAGAAAGAGTGAAAGAAGCAGAGAGACAAATGGAATATTATAAAGGGAGTGTAGAGAGAGAARAGAAGTTGAAGGTTAAAGTAAAATGTATGGAAGAGGAAAGTGATAAATTGTCAAGAACATTACAGGCAAGTGAGGAAAGGTAAGGCTTCAAAGAATGTGGTAGTTTGGTAGTTAAATCAGTGTGAAGGGAAGTTACGTTGTACCCTGTAAGCAAAGGTCCTTTTCTACACCGYTTACCCTGCTAGGAAGTAGAGGTTTCTCTCTCTCGCTTTTTAGCAGGGTAAAAAGGACCTTTGCTCACAGGGTAGTTATTGAYGCAATAACAGATAAAAAAGTAGAGTTACACTTTTTTACCTTCAAACATGTGTTGCAYTTGGGTCAGTTTCTATGCATTTTATTGTATTGACCCAAATGAGTGCCTTAAGTTGGAACAAATTTATTGTTTGAAGGCAATAATAGGTAACTTTAATATTTGCTATTATTTTTTATATTACTGGGTTTCACGTAACGTCATTTCCAGTCTTAGAATGTTCATCAGCTGGAGCACATGGTGGTCAGTGTTTGACCACCATATATTTGATGCACATTCAAAGACTTTTATCGGTTGATTAAAGCCCAGCAATTCTAATATTTATCTCTGCAATATTGTAATGTACTTTCCTTGCTTTCAGAACAAAAATATYCTTATCAGAAATAAAACTAAAAGATGAACAGCTGAATAATTTGCAACACGAAAAAGAGGAACTAGAAGAAAAAATAAATAAAACAGTAGAGGAAAATGATAAGATAAAGGGACATATTGTACAATTCAAAAAGACATTTGGTGATGTGGCAAAACAATTGATAAGTTACAAAAGAGAACTGGATAATTTAAAAGCTATGGTAAAGAATCACTACAAAGGGGTTTTAAACTATTCAAAAGGAGTAAATATATCTGTCGCTGAAGTATGTGAAAAGTTTAACAACCAAGATTATGAAGATTTAAGAAAAACATTGGACAAGGTAAGACTTTTTCTACATTTCTTTGAATTCCACATTTTCTTAGCTTAATATGTACTACCAGGTAAGGTAATATTTATTGGGTTATCATAGTAGCATGTGTTGTGCTGTGAGCTGTAGCCCAGGGGTTGTTTCAGGGTTCTATCTGTGAGTTAGCTGCATGCCCTGACTTAGATCAGCCCAGAGGTTGTTTCAGGGTACAATCTGTGAGTTAGTCATACACTGACTTAGATCAGCCTAGAGGTTGTTTAAGGGATTGATCTTTGAGTTATAGCTGTTCCCTGTCTTATATTAGCCCAGAGGTTGTTTCAGGGTAYGATCTGTGAGTTAGCCATACCCTGACTTAGATTAGCCCAGAGGTTGTTTCAGGGTACAATCTGTGAGTTAGCCATACACTGACTTAGATCAGCCCAGAGGTTGTTTCAGGGTATCAATTCATTTTTGTCTCTTCAACAGTACAAAACTGAGAATGAAAGTTTTGCAAGTAGTGTAAAGCAGCTTGAAAACAAACTCACCTCAGCTGAGACTGAAATGGTTAAGTTCAAAGAAGTTGATAAAAGAGCAAATGAATCAAGAAGAAAATGCGAAAGTCTGGAAAATCAGTTGAAGACACACCAGGAAAAAATAAAAATTTTGGGTGACCAAAACAAGGAACAAAAATCCAAAATATCAGAGTATGAGGAAACGCTTTTGTAAGTTTGTCACTGATATTCATRAATATTATATTTATATTATCCTTTATTACATTGGTATTTGTGTGGGTGCAATGGTYGTGGGGGAGGGGTAGGAAGGAGTGTAATACCAGATGTACTCAATTGCTAGGATACAATATCCCCTTCTTAAGGCTGGTTTAGABGGTACGATTTTCGCCTACAGCTATCGTATACAACAACCTCGCTTCTGTTGTAGGCGAATTGTAGGCTTGATTTACACGCTACAACTTGAAATGTAGGATGGCGCGAGCGTGTTGTATACGATAGTTGTAGGTGAAAATCGTACAGTCTAAACCGACCTTTAGACACTGCCATGTCTTGGAAGTTTCATGATTCCTTTTAGAAGAAGATATCAATTTCTACGTGGGTGGGGAGAGTCAAAGGAGTGTATATTTGTGTAGATAAAGTATATCAGCAAGGCTTAAAGGGGTCAAAAAGGATAARAGTTGCTCATGCCAAACTTTCTTCAGTTAAAGAGAAACAGGAATGAATATTTTCTAGAACTAAACATAATAGTTTTGTGGTAATTCTTCTCGAAGGTCAACAGAAAAAGAGACAAAAGAGTTGCTTCAAAAACTTCAAAAGAATGAAGAAACAAGTAAAAYGCAAAAGCAAAATCTGCAAGAGATTATTCTTAATAAAGAAAAAGAACTGTATAGTAAAGAGGAAGAGTGTAAAACTCTTAAAAGTCAAGTAGAAGAGTTGAGTCAAAGAGGGAATGAGACAAAGGCAATGGCATCTAGCTCACAAGAGGAAATCAAGGTACACTAGACAATACATTGACAACAACTAAACAATAGGCTTATTACATTGGTTTTGCCGTTTATGATGACATGTCATTCCCTTGAGTATTATTTTTTGGTAAAGCATTAGAAAAAAGGGATAATACTCAAGGGAATGACATGTGGTCTTGAATATGGAAACAAACATTACACCCTTGAAGCAGATTGGGCGTATTTTTACCAAGTACAGTGTACATGTGATTAACCTTATGAATTTCAGGTCATTTTCAAACCTCATGAAGTGCTTTTTCAAACATTTCTTTAGAGCCTGAAAGATTTGCTTASAAGTAAAAACAATGAAATATCTGCCTTACAGTCTGAAAGGTATTAGTATATCCTTGACTATAGCTTTAACCTCTCCCCCCTCCCTCCGCCCCTGCCCCCAAAAATGCAATTTGTAATGAGGTTGATGTTAGGCTCCCTTAATAGTATAGCCTTAATTCACTATAGCTATAGTTCCTCTCCCCTCCYCCCAGGAGTGGATTTTGTTACTAGTCTCCATTCATCCTCCAAGTAGGAAGAAGATGGAGAGACTGAATCTTAGAATACCATAATGGTAATAACTATACTTTTCTTTTATGACAGAGAAAAAATGATAGTTGCTCATCATAATCGAATAGAGCAGCTTAGAGAAAGTTTCAAGAAGAAAATGGAAGAGGCAGATGCTTGGCCTGTGAAGGTATTTAGATTTTTTTTACACTCAATGTATTTCTCGTTTCTCCTTTCTTGTTGCACTTTGATGAAGAACAAGCTCTTAAGGTTGACATGCAAAGCTAAGAAATTCAATGCACAACTGTTAATTACTTACAATACGCATGTGCTGTGACCGTGACAGGGCTGTGCCTGAGTATTTTTATTGGCTGATTATTGCCGTTGCTTGCTGTTGGATATCGTGAGAGTACTACTTACTTGTACTGTGCCATTTCACAATCATGATTAATCTGATACGTTACCAGAATCGCCTTTGATTGAATCCTTACTACATTACACATTATTACACGTTATTACCTTGCAGCTTGCCTAATATATTTTTTTCATTACGTCTTAACAAAATGAAAAAAAWTTTTTCGTACAGTTCGAAAAGGCTATAAAAGAACTGGAACAGAAAGCTAAGATGGAGAAAGATGACATGTGGAAAGACCTTAATGAATCTTTTCAAAAGGTATCAACTATTCTCTTATTTCGTCTCTTTTTATATATCACATTCATTGGAAATGCACGTCATATGCAAGGCTGAACTGATGACTAGCATTTTCATCCTGCCTTAGAAAATAAGGTTTACAAGCATTTTTCGTACGACTTACATTTAACGGAAGCAATGAATTCTGGGAAACCTTGGGGTTCTAAGCATTTTTCTTTTGGTCTTTGACATCTCTTATCATCATCGTTAGTAGCACCAATAGCCAGTGAGTAATAAATCTGTGCCCTTGTTCCATGATCGAATTGGAAGTTACAAGTTGATTGTTGCGTTGTAAGAAAGTCAGACAAGTCAAGTAAAGATGGATTTTTCGGTTCCTTTTTTGCGCACATTTCTGCGCGAGAAAGGACTGATTTCTGCGTCAAGGCCACGTGATCCCTGTTGTCAGTCGTATTGCGTGACCAGGTAACGCAACAACATCGTTATGTGATGTTAACAGGAGATGCAAGAAGAGCAAGAACGACACACCAATGAACTGAACATGTGGAAAGATGAAGCCAGGACTATGCAAAACAAGGTGATTTTTTTACTCATCCTTTCTTTCCCTTCTTGTCGATTTTCAGTTCCTTTCATTCAATCCCCTTTCCTCCCTTTCTTCCCTTTCTATCGATGGATACAATTTTACATATATTTTTTGTTTTCTATTTTTCTCAGTTTAAAGAAGACGTCGACGCCTTGAATCAAAAACATCGCGAACAAGTGCGTAAACTGCAATTTGCAGCCAAAGATGAAAAGGTAATCCACTAAACTCAGTCTACACCAAACTATAATCTCGATCGGTGTTGATGCAGGTCTTGCGTTCGATTCCTGGACTCACCATTATTTGTGAATAGAGTTTGTCAGGTCTCACTTCATTCGACGGGACTTTTTTCCAGGATTATTTGTGAATAGAGTTTGTCAGGTCTCACTTCATTCGACGGGACTTTTTTCCAGGATTATTTGTGAATAGAGTTTGTCAGGTCTCACTTCATTCGACGGGGKTTTTTTTTCAGGATTATTATTCGTTTTTTCCTCCATCTGAAAAACCCAACACGCATTGCATTTGATCAGAAAGTTAGCCGTGCCCTGACTTTGATCACCCCAGGGTTTGATCAGTAAGTGAGACGTGCCCTGACTTTGATCAGCCCAGGCTTTGATCTGTGAGCTAGCCATACCCTGCCTTTGATCATCGCAGAGGTTGTTTCAGGGTTTGATCAGTAAGTTAGCCATGCCCTGATCAGCCCAGAGGTTGTTTCAGGGTTCAATCTGTGATTTAGCCATGCCCGGACTTAGATCAGCCCAGAGGTTGTTTCAGGGTTTGATCTGTGAGTTAGCCGTGCCCTGACTTAGATCAGCCCAGAGGCTGTTTCAGGGTTTGATCTGTGAGTTAGCCGTGTCGTGATTTCGATCTTCCCTGAGGTTGTTTCAGGGTTCGAAAAAATTCGAAGTTTTTTAAATCTCATTTCAGACCCAATCCTCCAAGATAAAGGAATCTAGTTCATCTATAATTGCTAATCTAGAGGAGAAAGTAAAAGATCTTGAAGCAAGACTTCGGCAGCGATCCACCTCCTCGTCAGAAGAAGTTACCTTACTACAAGCACGTGTTCACGAGCTACATAATGTCATGAATGATGCAGATCAGCATATTAAGGAACTGGAAACAGAACTCTCGTCTACAAAAGAACAAGTAAGTGGTTTTGTTTTTTTTTTTTTGGCGCGGAGGTTTTTTGCGTTGCATGGGTTTTCAGTGTTGGGTATTGATTCACACTCTCCATACATCAGAAGAGATAACTAGCTAAAAACTAGTGTGAGCTGCGTCGGTGTTTCTAATGAAACAGTAATGATAAAAGGGTAAATTGTACACCGTGAAAAGATGAAAAAACTTCTGACGTTTCGGACGCTAGTCCTTCGTCGGAGTAAAAGAGCCAAGAGCCTCTAAAGGACTAGCGTCCGAAACGTCAGTAAGTTTTTTCATCTTTTCACRGTGTATAATTTTACCCTTTCATCATTACTGTTTCCATACACCAGTTCACTGGTCAACCATAGAGTATTAAGTCGAGGGCTGAAACTAACTTGCAGCCGTGATTTTGTGCTTCAGTTATGTTTGACTAGAAAACCAATGAAAARTGTGAACCACGACACACGCCCTTTTGACCACACAGGTAACCCACGCGTTGAAAAAACACCAGGAAAGGCTTAGTTTTTTACTCCTCAAAATATAGTTTTTTCTTTGTGCATTAGACTTGATTTTTTTTCTACAGAATTTATTACTTCAAGATACTGTCCGTCAAGAGTGTGAAGAAAGACTAGAGCTGACAGATGCTCTTAGCAAAGCAAGAACACAACTCCTTTCCTTAAAGAGAAAAAATAAAATATCTCTTTCAAGAACAAGTTTAAACACTTCGGGATCCAGCCACTCACTATCTGGATCAACCAGAGATGGTACCAACAGTTCTTCATCTACGTGTTTAGTCGGTTTTGACGGTGTGAATATCAAATCTCCGCCTGTTCCTCAAGATACTGGACGTATTTCTCGCTCTGGTAGTGTAGATGATAGTAGACAGCGTATCGCAGCTGCTCTTGGAAGAAATAGCTCAAAAAGTAGGCTTGGTGACAACTCTAGTAGGTAACGTTTTGTATGATTTAGTGTAAATTAAATAAAGGTAGAAAGTGGACTAAAAGACTGAGATAAGGATAATTCCCCTTAGCGGGGGGGCATCAGCGGTACCGAGGTGGAGAGAAAACCTTGGGCGAGTTGGCAATGCAGTACATTGTTGGGACGAAGTTATTAGGGGACGAAATAGGCTCCGTCTTCCAGCTGAGCGTTGAATTTTGTTTCAGCCAATCACAGCGCGTTAAGCTGTTTTGCCTCCGACCATCGTTCATCTTTTAAGCTCCAAAAGTGCTTTGCGCGCCGAGTTCACCGCTCAGCTTGTTGGAAATATGTCTAATATCATTTCAACCGATCTTGGATAACGTCATTTTAATTATTCTTTCTAAAAAGCAAACAGTTATGGATTCGGTAACCTAAAATCCATCTCGTGTAGTGCTTGCTTATGCTCGTATTACTTGCTGTGTTAAGAATTAACAGGAGACGATCGTTTTTATTTTACCTATTCACTTTCATCTGGYTTCGGCATTTGAAATTGTTTTGATCAGAGAACAAAACTTTACAAATACTCAACGATAGACTGATTATTCAAAGCGGAGTTGAACTAAGTTGCACACGGTTACTATCGCCATTTTTGTTACAAATGAATTATCGAATATTATTCCTGCAATGAAGTTTGGCGCAGCAGCTTCAGCCAGCTTTATCACAAAACTAGGGGCTTTCGTATTTTTTCACTTAAATATACATATATTTTTTTCTCTTAAATCATAGCAGTATTTATTATATAAACATGAGTGTTTTACTGGGAAATACACCATTCGTATTTTTCGTACAAACTACATCCGGGACCTGAGTAACATATTTTCCAGATCTTCACTAGTGAGGATATCGAGGACGTCACTTGTGATGTTTTCGTGGACCTGTTTTGATTAACTTGCGTAGTTTTTCTTCGTGGATTTGTCAATATAAAGAAAGAAAATTTCACATTGGCTTTAAAATATGAAGTTTATCTTCTCGTGTTGAAAAATTCGCTGCGCTCACTCGTGAACTACTTTTACCACTCGAAGATAAACTTCATATCTTCGCTCCACCATGTAATRTCCTCTATATCCAGCAATTAAATTAACCTTAAGGTTTAAAAGTGTGTGTGGCCTTGAATTACGAAATCGTTAAGRATAATTAGACTTTTTTGTGGTTAAATGACACGGGAAAAACGCTATAATATTCACAGTATATAGAACACATCAGTCGGTAAGTAGTGCTGACCTGTGTACTACATATTCATCTATTACACGTATTTTGTTTATCTCCCGTTAARAGTAAAAACACGAACATCTTGTTAGATTTTATCTCGCTCTAAATTGAAAATGTTATCATTATTAGTACCATTAAGAACATCGTAAAAAATGTCATGATCCGATATATATTTTTAAGATGTTAAAGTCTATTAGATACAATATTGTTTTTATAAACTAGCTTAGAAAATGTGCAAATGATCCGTGATTTTCATTCAATTCTGTCTCTTGATTCAAGGTTTTTCTCCAGGTTCTTCGGTTTCCTTTCTCCGCAAAACCTAACAAACTTAATTTCGATTCTATCCGTGAAATATCCATGGCTTTGATCAGCCCGAGGTCGTTTCAGGATATAAATATTGGATGGTTTTTTTGGAAGATTTTTTTCGACGTGTTTTTCCTTTTCTTTCTCTCTTTATTTTATTTAACTGTGTTTTTGAGTTCAGAATGCTGCCAGCTTGTCATCTAACTTTTTTCCGGTTTAAATATCCAGTCATGAAATATTAGTTTTTTTCATTGAGGCTAATTTGAAAATAATTATTTAGTCTGACCCTGTATGTTGCCGCACATTAGACCACATCGTCTATATTAAAGGTTATCAATGCTATTGGTTTATTTACTCTTCTTGGACCAATACGACGTGAGGATGAGCGACAAGGATCCAGTGATGTGTGAACTGATACAAGCTTCTGGTTCATACAATAGACTTTATACTGGAGTGCTGTTAGTGTCTCAAAGACCAAATTCATCTAAGCTTCCCGAGGCCATCGTAAAATCGCGTTTTAATAGCTATTTAGATTTGTTTGAGCGAAGATAGTTTTGATTGTGATGTTCGTTATTGGGAAGATTATCGAGGTAAAAATTCGTAGTGCGCAGCTTGCGGTTTGACGAAAACCCACAACTCCTTCGCAGGTGAGTCAATATTTAGCGGACAAATATACTTATTTGTCTAGATTGGCTTCTGTTTGACATGTCTTAATCAAATAGAATGTCTGTAGACTTGATTACAAGTATTTAAAAATCTAGTGCGCTAATATTTAAGAAAAAAGAATCTGATTTTGAGGCCAAATACACTCGAAAGGTTTCCTGTCGTTTAAACGCAATTACCACTTTAATGTGCCGCAGTGATTGGTTTAGATTTATCACTTTCAACCTCGTATTCATTAAGAACAATTTCACCTGTTCTGCTCTGCTTTACCTATAATACTAAATATTCCAACCTTATTTTAAAGCAACCTTTTGTATCCGAGAAGTACTACTACCGACGAAAGGAAGCTTTGGATCAACGTTCTAGAGTAAGAGGTATAAATGAAGACCTAATGTAGTATATAAATTTGAATGGATCAAACTTCCGATTTGTATATTTATCCAAATTCCTGTAGTTATCAATAGAAGCATATTGAATCCGTATCAGATAAGGTTCCAAATATTTGTTGTATTGATACTGAGCGAGATAGAAGCTTTTTTTCCGTGTATTTCTTTCTAGGCAGCAATGCAATACTGACAACTTTTCTATCCTGCCACTAACGACTAAAATTCATTATGTCATCCCGTGATGCAAAAAGACAAAGACAACAATAAAACCTATACAGTGTGTCACCATGGATACCAAAATAATGCAATCGAAGATTCATTTTTTGAAATCTCATTTAACATTATTGGCTTTCTTGCAAACCGCATTTTAATCCTAGGGTTTGCTATTGCCCTTGTCAATGGCCAAGTCAACATTTTAATTCGCAATAATTAAAAATTTCAAAGAAAATAAAGAAAAATCCAACACTTGTGGGGGAGATAAAAAACGCCGATAAAACAAAAAAAAAAGTTGTAGTAGAACCGGAAATTTAAAAAAAACTTGGATTGTGGGAATTTCAAGAAGATTTTACTTTCAAACAAGTTTTGAAATTAGTTATTGCTATAAATGTTGAAATTAAAGAAGAAAAGGAGTTTAGAGACAAGAAACSGGTTCCTTGTGTTCTTTATTGCTTGTGAACTGAACAGACTTCCTTCAATTGTGATAATGTTTTCTAAATCAACCTATTGGAATAGAGCTTAGCTACTGTTCATTATTAAAACATGATCAATTCGGCAAATTACATTCACCTGTCTTTGTAAGCTTTATTTAGTTCTCAATCTTTCCATTACTAGAGCTCCATGCTGGTAAACAGTCAAAGATGCCTTGAAATTGGTATCTGAATTCCAAGGTTTAAACTGAAAAAAATGGCGGAAGCTGTTGAAATCCAAGGAGCTCAGAGAGTAGTGGCTTTAAAATCGTTGAAAATATGGCGGGAAAACAAGAAGAAACGCGACGCCAAATGCGCCGAAAATCACAAGTTTGCCAACGGTTTGTATACCGATAAGATACATTCAGTGGTCTGTGTTTTTTTTCCTCTTTCAACTCCTTAAAAATGCGAAAAATATGTGTATAAACGGAAAGCTTTAATAAATTGAAGACACGAACAAATGAAGACATCCTTCAGATATAATAAATAAAGTTAAGTACACATTGAAATAAATATTTGCCTTGGCTTGCAGTAGGGGAGTCCATCGCCTTGATGCAGAATGGAAGCGACTTCATCAAGCTCAGAAATGCGTCCAAAAAATATCCACGTACCTACTTTATTGATTCTGCGCTCCTAAATATCTGTTGGACGCCTTCCAAGAAAGGGGACCGTGCTCGAAGTAAGTCAATTTTCATGTTATTTATTACTAGTTGTAAACCAGATTATCAATTACAGGCATGATTCCAACATCTCAGACGAATCCTTTTGAAATTGCAAAGACTCAATTTGAAAGATATCCTTATCTTACAACGTAATTTCTAACAGTTATCGGTTTCAAGTCTTAAAAAAATCGTGTTTTTTTTATTTTAAATTTTCCTTTCTAATTAAGTGAGTTACTTTGAGTGTTTGTCGTTTCTATTTGTCAAGATGTGTCAATATAGCTATTTGTGTTATTAAGATAATTATATTCTTGCTGCTAGCTAGAAAAAGTCAACGACCAGGCCGTTTATTTTATGGATTAAATACGAGATTAACAGGCCCCCTTCATGCCTCCCGTTGAGGGTTAATTCTTAGGGAGAATTCATGTTATTTTCCCCGTATTATGCTTGTCTGGTAAGATTGAAGCTAATTTGCTAAATTAAAGCCATCTTCGCCTACCTACTTTGCAATTTAGAGCCTTACGAAAACAGGAAAAAGTTAAAAGTACTAATGTAATTACATTAATATTACCTTTTTGGAGGTCGTTTATCGTAAATGTCTTCATGATGGAAGTACCGTTCAACTGAGTTTGATTAATATTTAACACAAGCGATAATGATCCATAGCAAGCCATAACATGTAGGTCCATGATAAAGATTCAAGATACGTAACAACTTCCTGGATGCTTTAAACGCTGTTGTTGCTGTTGCTGTTGTTGCTGTT